CATCGTCGTTTTTCTTTGGATTTAAGTCGTCTCGCCTTCTAACTACCACCACTTCACGATGAACGCGTTGATACGTTAATACAACTTAAGAAAAAAAAAATTATCTTAAATAATTATTTCATATTTAAATTTTTTAATACTTCATATGGTACAAAAAGGATTAAAAAAGAAAAAAAAGGATTATTTTTTTCCTACTACTTTTTACGATAAGCCTTCCGCCATTCTCCCTCTTACTTACGGTCAACCACCCCTCCCTGTCCCTCATCCTCTCTCTCTCTCTCTCTCTCTCTCTCTCTCTCTCTCGTGGAAGCTCCTGTTGCTTGCCCCAATCACAGCCCAATTCCGCCATCGAATCACACTCTAACCTGAGAAATCTCTCAATTCCACCTCCCCCGACGAATATTTAACTCCAATCCTTCTCCCTCTTTCATGGATGACAGCCAATTACCCTGTAATGGAGTCCACTTTGGTCAACGAGCCCCCCTGGATTGTTCTTCCGCGAAATTAGCCTTCTCCTGATTCTTCCTCGCTGGAAGGAATCGCAACGGTCTTGTGAATTTTTAATGTGCTTGTTTTGTTCCTTCCCCTGCCACGCGTGATCACGATTGAGTAGGGCGTAGCCATTGCAGGTTTGATTTTCGCTTTCGTTTTGTTTAATCCTGATATTTTACTTTCATGTTGTTGTGTTTGTTGAGATTAGGGTTGATTTTGAGGTTTTCTTTACTCCATTTGGATTTCTCGTGGCTACTGTGCAGTCAATCTTGTGGTGGCTCTGTTTCTCAGGGCTTGAGTTGTAGATCGGATGGCTGAGAGTTGGGATGGAAGTTATGATGACTCTGGAAGCTTTTCAGATGAGAGCGGTTTTTACGCGAGATTGCATATTGAGCCTATTTACGATTCGTTTTTGTGCCCTTTAACGAAGAAAGTAATGCGGGATCCTGTTACTATAGAAAGTGGGCAAACTTTTGAACGTGCGGCCATTGAGATGTGGTTCAACGAATGCAGGGAGAGTAGAAGGAAGCCAATCTGTCCAATGACACTAAAAGAATTAAGAACCACGGATCTGAATCCCAGTATTGCTCTGCGAAATACTATTGAAGAGTGGACTGCGAGGAATGAAGCTGTTCAGCTAGATATGGCTCGTAAGTCACTTAACTTGGGAAGTCCAGAAAAAGAAACATTGGGATCTTTGAAGTATGTTCAACATGTCTGCCAAAAGGGTTTGTCGAGGCACATCGCACGAAATGCGGGGTTAATACCTATGATTGTTAGCTTGTTGAAGAGCACCAGTCGAAGAGTTCAGTTTAGAGCTTTGGAAACGCTTAAAATTGTGGTGCAAGAAGACAATGAGTGTAAGGTTGTCATTTGCGGGTTAGATTTCCTTAGTGTGTCGAGCTAGCTAAGTTATGCTTGTGGACTTTTTGTGAACCACTTGTTTCATTTGGCAGGAAATGTTAGCTGAAGGTGACACTCTTCGCACGGTAGTAAAGTTCTTGCGTCATGAGCATTCGAAAGAGAAGGAGGAAGCTGTAGCTTTGCTGTATGAGCTTTCCACGTCCCAAGACTTGTGTGAAAAGATTGGTTCAGTTAATGGGGCTATTCTTATATTAGTTGGAATGTCAAGCAGTAGATCTGAGAACATCACCACAGTTGAAAATGCCGAGAGAACATTAGAGAATCTGGAGACATGTGAGAATAATATTCGACAAATGGCTGAATATGGTAGGCTGAGGCCTCTTCTGACACAGATTCTTGAAGGTGCGTACATGATCTTCAGCATTAGAGTTATTAGTTTTCGTATGGTATTTGCTTCTTTTGAAAAAGGTGAGGAAGAAAACATTCTAAAAAAGCATTTTTCCATGTTTCTGTTCAATACTTGAACTAATTTCTAATGAACAACATGTGCTTAAATGCATGCCAAACCCTGTCCTGCAATATCCTTGTTGTTCTAAGTTATATTTGAATACACATTAGAATGTGCATGTAAAGCCTGTAATGAAGCATATTACTGCTGGTTATCTGCTGGACATTCTCACACTTGCCTTAGGGATGTGTCATAGGGATGTGTCGGTGCTTCCTAGACCACCCTATAGGAAATATTTTACCGAATGCTGTACTTCAGCTTTGGCTCGTGTAAAGAATTATGGTACTCTCCTACGAAAACATGCACTCTATTTTGAGCAAAATAGTGGTGTTACTTGTTAGATATGTAACCAATATAGACAGACACATTAGACATGTGGTTTGTAGGTCTCTTTTACTTTTGTTCTTGAAGAAGTTCTTGTAATTTGATTTTAAAGATACGTGGACATGTACGATACTTGTTTAGTGGAGATTGATAACAACCGTATGTCTGGAAAAGTGGAGTTTTGGAGACCAATTGAAGAAAAGTTTTCAAGGACATTGGGAAATTGGAAAAAATTGTGCCCTTCTAAGAGTGCTTTAACCTTGTCTACCTTAGTCCCGGAAAGCTTGCCAACTTAATGTGTGTAAGTGTTCCTGATGGCAAGGAAGGATGTGTATTATCCTTACTAAAGAAGATAAGGGAATTTCTTTGAATGGCAGCCGAGGTTGAGGATTATTGGGAGGGAGTCTCACATTGGCTAATTTAGGGAATGATCATGGATTTATAAGTAAGGAATACATCTCCATTGGTATGAGGTCTTTTGGGGAAACCCAAAACAAAACCATGAGAGCTTATTCTCAAAGTGGACAATATCATACTATTGTGGAGAGTTGTGATTCCTAACATGGTATCTGAGCCATGCCCTTAATTTAGCCATATCAATAGAATTCTCAAGTGTCGAACAAAGGAATTGCTAGCCTCGAAGGTGTAGTTAAAAATGGCTCATGTGTCGAACAAAGGGTGTACTTTGTTTGAGGGCTTTAGCTCAGAGAAAGGAGTCGAGCCTCGATTAAAGAGGGGCTGTTTGAGGGCTATATAGACCTTAGAGGAGGCTTTATGTGTACTTTGTTCGAGGGAAGGATTGTTGAGAATTGTTGGGAGATAATTGGTTAATTTAGGGAATGATCATGGGTTTATAAGTAAGGAATACATCTCCGTTGGTGTGAGGCTTTTTGGGGCAGCCCGAATCAAAGCCATGAGAGCTTATGCTCAAAGTGGACGATATCATACTATTGTACAGAGTCGTAATTCCTAACATCAAGCCATGAGAATTAAGTTACCTGGTTCGTAGTTTCATAACCACTCGAGTAAGGAGGCTTGGGCATTGGTAATTTGAGAAAAAGGAATCTAGCGTTACCGATAAAATGGTTGAGTTCTATGGAATTAAAGTAATAGTAAACGTAGAGGACGTTTGGTATGTTGGTTGGAAAACCTATATTCCTGTAGTTTAATATTAACAAATTTGGATTATGACAAAACAAGAGAACACCTTGAGGCAATATTGGATTCAGTTCAAGATGATTACTGCTTCTTTCTCGAAGCTCTTTGATATTGAGTTGGTGGGGAGCTTCATTAAAGGGCTGAAAGCAAAAAATCAGGTATGTGGTTATGGACTAGGTGCTATTTTGATGCAAATTCAGTGACCAGTGGTCTACTCCTATGATGTTCTTTAATAGCAAGCCCAACAAATATCCATTTATTAAATGGAATTGATAGCTAGGGTGTTCGCAGTATAGAAATGTAGTCAATGTCATTGAGAAGGAAATTCTTATGTAGTTTTTTTGCACAAATCAGCGAAGTCTACAAATCTGTTGGTTAGTGTTGATCATCATAGGTGGCTAACAAAATTACTTTGGTATGATTTTGAAATCCAATATAGGCTCAACCTCTCCCCCCACCCTCCCACGGCCGACCGTGCCACAGTCATCATTGCTGATAACCTATTCGTCAACTAGAATGTCCCCGCTTTACCCTAACTTAGTCTGCCAAGTCACCAATAGCAGCCAAAAAGCTTTCCTCCGGAATAGAAAACAAATTTATTGCAGTGGAGTTTGGCAAATGGTATAACTGAGAGTGGTGAAAATTACAGAGACGCATTGGAAAATATATTTCTATGTTTCTGTTGAAGAGGTGCTGGGGGTATGGATCACAGACGCAATTGCAGGCCTCCTTCATACCCCTCGGTTACATAAGTGTTATAAGAACGACATTTTGCAACGATCGTTTCTTTGGATTAAAAAAACGATGAATAAGAGAGGTAACTTTGTTGAGGTCACTAATATCTTTGATGTTGGGGGAAAGAACAACATTGTAGTTCCAGCAGGTCTGGACCACCTTAAAGGTTGGGAAGCCTTTCACCAGCTTCTTTCAGAATTTTAATGGAAAAATGTGGACGGAACAAGGAGCCTCAAACACGGGTTTGAAAAACGGAACTTCATATATCAAAGATTGCTTTTGACATGTTAACCAATTGAGTCTAAGAACCCTTATAAATGCTTTGGATATGCAAACCCCTAGTTCACAAATGCTAAACCCCCGAGAATTTGATCTAATAACCTTATTCAAGAATAAGACCTTTAGATCTAAAATTTTCAAAAATCTAAAACGATAAGGAATCACCCCATGTGAAAGTAAGACTCGGATTACCTTGTTGATCAAATATCTCAAGGTGAGAAAACTTCTTTGAGATTTGAATTACTCAACAAGCAAGATCGATCACATCATTCTTGAATGATTCTAAACATGCAACCTAAACTATATAGAATTGTAAAGAAACTTAGCCGTTGGCTAAAAGAAAGCACAAATGCTCTTTTCACTACATTTTCTAGGCCAGCTTTACAAATACAACATACATGACTTTATATAGCCTCAAAATAAACTCTTGTTCTTGCGTGAGACATTTCAAGAGTTGTAACATTCATTCTTTATGTTCATAATTTTTCACCCTGTAAATGTAACCTTAGTTTAAATAACAAGTCTTAAAATACAATAATGAAACACCATAACTCTAGATTATCAATTTGTAACCATCTAAGAATAAATGAAACTCATTTTCCTTGAAGTTCATATTGCATGATTGACATGTCTTGGTTACTATTATTCTCCATTTCTTTAAAAGGATTCATCCTCGAATCTATTTGTGAAACTTTGCTGCAAAAATAAGTTTAAGAAACACAAAAAACTTCACAACACTCTCTCGTACTCAAGAAAACTTAGGCCACTCTGTTTGCACTCATTTACACAAGAAAACTTTGGATTGATTATAAGCTTAATAAATAAAAATAAATGAAAAATAAATTGAAAAAAAAACACAAAGGAAATATAGATCCGATCTTAAGCCGAAAGCTTTGATACCAAATGATATAGTGACCCTAGGCAATTGAATTTAAGAACTCTTGTAAACGCTTTGGATATGCAAATCCCTAGTTCACAAATGCTAAAACTCCCCGATCAATTTCATTTCATTCTAATGATTGTAACTCTTGAGAATTTAAACTATCAACCTTATTAAAGAATCAAACTTTCAGATCTAAAATATCTCAAGACTTCAAAACAATAAAGAATTATCCCAAAGGAAAGTAAGATCTGGATTACCTTATTGATCAAATATCTCAATGTAAGAAAACTTTTTTGAGATTCGAATCACTCCACAAGTAAAATCGACCATGTCAAGCTTGAACGATTCCAAACAATTAATCTAAGCTACATAAAATTGCAAAAAACTTAGCCCTTGACTAATAGGAAGCACAAGTGCTGTTTTTACCATATTTTCCATGTCTACTTTACAAAGACAACATACATGGCTTTATATAGCCTCAAACTAAAATCCTTGACCTTCCATGATGCATCTCAAGATTTGTAACATTCATATTTTATGACCATAATTAGCCACTATATAAATGTAACCTTAGAGTAAATAAAAAGTCTTAAAATACATTAATAAAATACCATAACTCTAGATTATCATTCAAGGAAGATCGGCTTCATTATTTTGGGTGCAATATGAACTTAATTTTGGGTGGATGATAATCTAAAGTTGTGATGTTTCATTATTGTACTTTTAAGACTTTTTACTTACTCTAAGGTTAATTTATTTAGTGGCTAATTATGGTCATAAAGTATGAATGTTACCACTCTTGAAATTCCTCATGGAAGATCAAGAGTTTTATTTTGAGACTATATAAAGCTAGGTATGCTATCTTTATTAAGTAGACTTCAAAAATGTAGTAAAAAGAGCATTTGTGCTTTCTTTTAGCCAAGAGATAAGTATCTTTGTAATTCTATGTAGTATGTTGCATGTTTAGAATCATGCAAATTTGACATGATCGATTTTGCTTGTGGAGTGATTAGAATATCAAAGAACTTTTCTTGCCATGAGATATTTGATCAACAAGGTAATTCGGATCTTACTTTTTCCGGGGGTGATTCCTTATCATTTTGAGGTTCTTAGATATTTTAGATCTGAAGGTCTTATTTTTTAATAAGATTGTTAGATCAAATTCCAAGAGTTGCAAACATTTGGAATAAAATCAAATTGATTTTGGGGTTTTAACATTTATGAACTTGGAGTTTGCATAGCCAAAGCGTTTATGAGGGTTCTTAGATTTAACTGGTTAGAGTTACCATATCAAAAGCAATCTTTGATATTCTTAAAAAGATCCACACTCCATAAATTAAAAAGAATATTCCTAAATTTTAACCATCCCTCATATGACAAGACCGCATTCTGTTTTCCATAAAGTTGAGCGTCCCATGCTCCCATTGGTTGCCACTAGGGACCAAGCAAAGTTAAAACTAGAGAGCAATGTGCGGACATTCTCACCAAGACTCTAGCAAAGGTTAAATTTGCAGACATGCGAGAGTTTCTCGAAGTGAAAAATCTTGATCAAAGTCAAGCTTACACAGGAGAACGTGAGTTAATAAGCTTGACTTAGCAAAAAAAGTTATTAACTTAGAGAAATTTTAGGATAATTGTTTAGGAGTTATTAACTTGAATAAGTTTAGGAAAATGATTAGTCTTTTGTTAAGGAGAATTGTTAGTAGTTGCTAACTTGTGGAGAAAGTTTAGGAAACATCCTTCTCCACTCTAAATACTCATGAGGTGTATGCTCATTTCACACCAACAAAGAGAATTAAAAGTCATAAGTGTTTAGCTACTCTATTCAAAAGCTCTCCCCTTATTCTTCTTGCTTCAGCTGTTTGTTTCGACATATTTCGATTGTGGGCTACATCTAAGCATCTTGAATAGCATACCTATTTACCTTTTTTTGCTCCAAATGGTTCTGATCAAGATGATTAAAGAAATGGGGAAAGTGATGAGGGACTGTGTGTGGAGTGGTGGTAATTATAAGCCGGGAAACAATCTCATCAAATAGAAGACCACTTCACTGCCATCGGTGTACGAGGGGCTCGGAGTTGGCTCTCTTCAGCAACGGAAGGCCTTCCTTCTGCTTAAATGACTATGGAGATTCAACCGTGGAAGGGACACTCCTTGGAGAAGTCTTATGGTTGCTTTCTGTGGGTGTGATTCTGCTGGTAGACATTCAACCATGAAAGGGAGGTTCTTTGGAGAAGAGTGATTGCGTCTATCTTTGGGCGTGATTCTGGTGGTCGGATGACCTAAGAGCTTAAAAGGAATTTTGGTGGCTGACCTTGGGCCACTATATGCCAACACTGAGATGTGTTTTTCAGTTTGTCAAAATTTTTTATAGGCAATGGCAGAAGTATTATTTTTGACTGGGAATTCGAGAACTGGGCAGCCTCCTGTGTTAAACTTGAAAGTATACAGCTAAGCAGAGGGGAGGACAAAATCAAATGAATACTGGAGCCACGTGGCTCTCTCTTGGAAATCAGCCTTTCTGTCCCTTACCCAGCCTAAATCAGTTAAAGTTTTCTTGTGGACAGTTATGTATAGGGACATAAATACTATTGATAGTGTGAGATCCCACATTGGTTAGAGAGAGGAACAAAACATTGCTTATAAGGGTGTGGAAACCTCTCCCTAGCAAATACGTTTGAAAACTGTGAGGCTGACGATGATACGTAATGAGCCAAAGCAAACAATATCTGCTAGCGGTGGGCTTGGGCTGTTATAAATGGTATCAGAGCCAGTTACTGGACGGTGTGCCACCGAGGACGCTGGGCCTCCAAGGAGGGTGGATTGTGAGATCCCACATTGGTTGGAGAGGGGAACGAAGCATTCCTTATAAGGGTGTAGAAACTTGTCCCTGACAGACGTGTTTTAAAATCATGAGACTGATGACGATACGTAACGGGCCAAAGCAAACAGTATCTGTTAGGGGTAGGCTTGGGCTGTTACAGAAGGTTTCCCTCCTGGCGTTCCTCCTCCTCTTGTTGCTGTCTGTATTCTCAGGGGGCAGAAACCATTGATTATTCGTTGCTTCATTGTCCTTTTATGGCTAACGAGTGGTCTTTGATTTTGAATTGATCGAACTTTCAAGTCTTCTCTTAGATGTTCTTTCTTCTACAATAAATTTTTGTCAATCTACTAAGTGTTATGCCAAATAAGTTTATCATAACATTCACCCATGATGAAGATTAAATGGAAAAATATCAATACTTAAAAGGATTAAATTGGAACTTTTTTAACAGGGACTAAATTGAAAAAATGCTGGAACACTACATGGGAACTAGAAAGTAATAGCATGTATTTCGCATTTATTTTAGATCATTGGTATTATGTCTCTCCCTGCGGTTCCCTTCAAGTATTAGAGTATTCTATTGACTGCTTGGAGATGAACTTCCGTAGTTATGCATAATCCGACTCATTATTCTTTCACATACACAAAGTAGTCTTGCATGTAATAACTCAGACTCTAGTTTCAATCGTTGGAGAAATTTTAAAATTAGGTTGAACGGGTGTTTCAGTCAGCTCATTAAGGAATCCCCAGTTTTTCCTGGGGAGTGTGAGATCCCATATCGGTTGGAGAGGAGAACGAAACATTCCTTATAATGTAGAAACCTCTCCCTAGTAGACGCGTTTTAGAAACTGTGAGGCTGACGGCGATATATAACGAGACAAAACAGACAATATCTGCTAGCGGTGGGTTTGGGCGGTTTCAAATGGTATTAAAGCTAGACACCGGGCGGTGTGCCAGCGAGGACGCTGGGCCCCCAAGGAGGATGGATTGTGAGATCCCATATCGGTTGGAGAGGGGAACAAAACATTCCTTATAATGTGGAAACCTCTCCCTAGTTAAGGGGAACAAAACATTCCTTATAATGTGGAAACCTCTCCCTAGTTAACGCATTTTAAAACCTTGAGGGGAAGCCCGAAAGGGAAATCCCAAAGAGAACAATATTTGCTAGCAGTGGGCTTGACCTTAGGCTGTTACAGAAACTTTGGTGGCAACAGACCAAAAAAAAGAAAAAAAGGGCCGGGAGTATAGTTGTGATACCACAAAAACAGGGTATTTTCATTCATTTCTTGTGTGAAGAGGCAACTTCAGCCTTAGATATAAAAGAAGCAGCGGATTAAACTTTGACTGATGGGAAGAAAATACTGAAATCAGAAACTTAATTAGTCATTTGAGAGATTAAATTTGCTTTTGTTTTATGACATCTGTTGCAATGGAAGTACATTTCTTAATTTTTTCTACATTTTTTTAATAAAGAACTTAATTTATGTATAAAGCATGTGATTGAACTTTTGGATGGGTTTGCAGCAGAGATATCCTCACAGTTTTGAGGAATTCCTTTCATGTTTCCTTTTAAATTACTTCATTCTTCAATGGGATTGTTACAGGCCCCCCAGAAACTAAACATTCTATGGCTGCACATTTGGGCGAGCTAGTTCTAAATAATGACGACAAACTCTTTGTGGCTCAGACCGTGGGGCCGTCGCTAATTAATATCATGAGGAGTGGTGATAAGCAGGCAAAAGAAGCTGCATTAAAAGCCTTGAACCAGATTTCGTCTTTTGAGGCTAGTGCACGAGTTTTGGTACAGCAAGGGATACTGCCACCTCTCGTTCGGGATCTTTTCGCAGTTGGTTCGAACCCACTTCCCATGAAACTAAAAGAAGTATCTGCTACAATTCTTGCCAATATTGTTAGCTCAGGAAGTGATTTCAATTCCATTCCAGTGGAACCTAATAATCAGACCACACTTGTCTCTGAAGCTACTATACATAGCCTGCTACAACTCATTAGCAATACCGGTCCAGCCATTGAATGCAAGCTTCTCCAGGTTCTTGTTGGACTTACGAGTTCTCCTTCAACTATTTCGAGTATTGTTAATGCCATTAGAAGCTCTGGTGCAATAATCAGCTTGGTTCAATTTATCGAGGCCCCACAGCTGGACTTGCGTGTTTCTGCTATAAAGCTCCTCCAGAACATCTCCCCACACTTAAGCCAGGAGCTAGCAGATGCGCTACGTGGTTCGGTTGGCCAGCTGAGCAGTTTATTTAGAATCATAGCTGAAAATACAGGAATCACAGAAGAACAAGCAGCTGCTGTGGGGCTTCTAGCTGATCTCCCTGAAAGGGATTTAGGCCTCTCCCGGCAGATGCTTGATGAAGGAGCTTTTGAGTTGGTCCACCTTAGAATTTTTCAACTCCGCCAAGGGGGGACTAGGGGAGGCCGATTTTTAACACCATTCCTCGAAGGCCTTGTTCGAATTCTTGCGAGGATTACGTTTATACTGGCTGATGAACCTGATGCTGTTGCATTTTGTCGCAACCGCGATCTTGCTGCTTTATTCATCGAACTGCTTCAGTCTAATGGACTTGACAATGTGCAGATGGTTTCAGCCATGGCATTGGAAAATTTATCTTTAGAATCTAAAACTTTGACTCAGTTACCTACACTTCCAGAACCAGGATTTTGTGCCTCAATTTTCCCATGCTTCAGCTCACAACCGGTGCTGACAGGGCTGTGTCCTCTCCACCGGGGTACATGTTCTTTGAAGGAAACTTTTTGTCTTTTGGAAGGTAATGCAGTCGACAAATTGGTAGCCCTTTTAGATCACGCAAGTGAGAAGGTCGTCGAGGCAGCACTTGCAGCACTATCTACTTTGTTGGATGATGGGGTTGACGTCGAGAAGGGCGTGAACATTTTACACAATGTAGATGGGGTTCAGCCTATATTTAACGTGTTGTTTGAAAACCGCTCAGAGAATCTGATGAGACGGGCAGTTTGGACAGCCGAGAGGCTGTTGCGCAACGACGACATCGCTATCGAATTCTCGAACAATCCAAACGTGAATACAGCACTTGTCGATGCCTTCCAGCATGGTGACTACAAAACAAGGCAAATCGCTGAGCGTGCCTTGAGACATGTTGATAAGTTACCCAACTTCTCCAATATATTTCCTAATCCTGGTACGTAGGGATTACCTTATCTCTTCTACATATGCTCTTGTTCAATTATTTGTGGTTTCTGTTGCCTTTGCATATGAAATTTTCTTTGTTTCTCTCTTTTCTTCCTTTTTCTTATCATTATTTCTTATTTTGGTTTGAGAGATTCTAGCCTCTTTTAAGTATTTGGAGGTAGATATTGAATGTATAAAGTCTCCAGCTCTTTAGACTTATCAGAAATTTGATTTGTTGAGTGATTCTATAGCCTGTAAGTTCTTTTGTTGTCAATCAAATAAACTAGATATCAAGTTCGGGAAGCAATGTTGGATAAAGGTGGTGTTTTTCTATCTTAATTTTTTTTTTCATTTTCTGGAGGATTGCTTGTTCATGGATTTGTACTTCATTAGATTGAGTTTCTTGATCTGCTTGCCTAAAGTTCAGCGTCGTTACAAGTCCTCGTTCAATAAGCTTAAGGATTAGGGGGACAATGAGTTAACATGATGAACCCACTCGATCCAAAATTCTCAATTTTGAGAGATTTAAGCATATACATGTGCGACTTAGGTTGCCTTATATTGGACATACTCGGTTATCGAGTATTTATGATTAACATTTGAACGTTATAAATACTTTGAAATTTTAACACTCGCCTTCAAGTTGGTTTAAGGATGTTTTTCGAAGTTAGATGGTTGAATTGTTTGATTGAAAGTTCTTTAATGAGTACATCAACAATGTCAGAGGATAAGAAATAGATATTGCACTTACGTTGATCTTTCTCTTATATAACGTTAAGCAATCGATGTATTTTGTTCTATCATGTAAAATTATATCATAAGCTAAAGAGATGATGAGTGTACTATTCAATAAACTGTATAGAGTCTACTTGAAAAACTTCAATGTTTATAATGTTTAATGTTTTTTTTTTATTCGACTACCTTTGTGTATAGTATTACAGTCATGTTTATCTAAGGCATGTTAGTTTATCCTCGTATGCCCATTTCAATTATTTTTACCTTACTTAATAGTAATGTATTTTTTTTAGTTTTTTTATTATTATTATTTATGTATGTCTCCTGGTCACTTCCGATGTTTGATAAGCAATTTATCTTAAAATGTATTATAGGGAGACACTAGTTGCCAATTT